ACGTAGCTAATGGAATTGTTGCGCATGAAGTAACCATTGAGGACGCAAGATCGACGGACTGATCTGTGTCAGCGTTATGAACTCTGGCCAAATTCATATGCCTCTTTTGAGCAGAAACCGTCCTGATCGTTACATGGCATGAGACAGATCGAAGCGACTGACTCATCGTAATTTTATTACAACATTTTTGGTGGTGACTGTGAGATAGAACACTACCAACGACACTCATTTTTTTCCCCGATATTTTCTCGTAAATACTTTACATACTATCATTAGTGTGCAGAAAACTTATTTCGAACACGTAACATCTCTGACCTCAAGTAGACACAACACAATACTCCCACACTTGTTACGACTGGAAATTTTAGTCATTTATTTTTTGTTTTTGTTTATTTGTGGTAAAGTTATATTAAAAATTTCCTTTTATATATAAAAAAATGATGAAAAACGAAACGAAGTAAAATAAACGCCAGAGGAATAAGCATAACATACACTTGCCAAGATGAACGATGACCAATTTCAACAGTTGATGAAAGGTATTTTCCAGTCGATAGACGGTATTGCCAAACAAAACAGTGCGAGGGGAGCTGACCATGTGAGAGCAAGGACGTTCGCCGGAACCGAGAATGACGACCCGGTAGAATGGTTGGAGGAATTTGAGTGAATGGCAGGAGTTAACAACTGGAACGATGACAAAAAGCTCAAGGTGGCCCCTGGGTATATGGTGGAATTAGCCGCTGACTGGTGCAAGGAAAATGTGGATAAGGTCAAGAAATAGAACGATACGGACCAGACGCAGAGTTTCCGTCACGTGCTGATAGAACATTTCGCCACGTCAGAAAAATGCCATAAGTGGCAGAAAGAATTGAATGAACTAAGTCAACGAGCTGACGAGAAAGTAGACAACTATGCAGTACAGTTTAAGCGCTTATTGACGAGAGTGGATCCAAAGGAGACGATTCCTAACGACTACATAGTAAGAATGTTTTTAAACGAACTAAAAGGTAATACAGCGACGTTTGTTAACATAACGTCTCCAAAGAACTTGAATGAAGCGATCTCAGCAGCACAAAAGGCCGAGGCAGGGAACTATTATGGTCGGCAAACTGCGAGGGAAGACAAGGACGTGACAAAGAGGTTGGAAGACGAGATGGAAAAAATCGGGAAACAATTAAAAGAGTTAACGTTGAACTACGCGGACTTGAGAAGAACGCCGCGAAGGGAACCGAGAAAGAAAGGAAAGGAAAACCGTGGTCTGTTACGACTGTGGAAAGGAAGGGCACATAGCTCGATGATGTCCAGAAAAGAAGACGCCAAGAGAAGCCCGGAAGACGACAAGTTCTAAGGTGCAGTATATCTACGAAGAAAGAGAAGAGAGTGAGAAAGATGACATAGAGGAAGAGAAGGCTTACGCGTTAGGGGACGCCTCGCAAGTTGTAAAAAAGAGAGGAAGACCACCCCGCCAAGATGAAGAGAGTATGGGTGAGCCTCCAAAAGCAACAAAACTTATAAGGGTACAGGAACCAATGGTAATCGTGAAATCCCCTGAAGCAACCGGTGTCAAAAAAAAACCAAGACGAAAGAGGCTGCCTTCAGTTGTGGATTCCCTGGAACCGTATGACATCTCGGAAGACATCTTATCGATGAGAGCGAATGTCACGTACGCACAGTTACTGAAATACCCCGATCAAAGACAAAACCTCTCGAAGATAATGAAGAGAGCTAAACCGCCAGAAGAGACCAACCAGGTAAGCACAGCGGACACTTTGAGGACGACCGCTGCCAAATGTTATATACGAATAGGAGATAAAATGGTAATAGCCGTCCTGGACACAAGAGCAGCAGTAAGTATAATCACAAAAAAATTAGCAGATAAGCTTCGTTTGACGATCAATAAGAAATCTACTTCGGTTGTTGTCACAGCGAATAGTACGAGGAAGAGGACTTTAGGGAAGGTGAAGGATGTGGGCATAACAATCCAAGGAGTAACTATTCCCGTGAAACTACGAGTCATTGAGTCACAAGACGAAACACTCTTGCTGGGGACCGATTGGTTCCAGAAGGCAAAAGCACGAATCCATTTTGATGAACAAAAAATATTTTTAAAATACCAAGGGAAAAAGCTAGAGGTACCCATCTCGCACAATAGCGTTGAAGGGTTGGTACGGCCAGATGAATCGGAGTCGAGCGACTACGAGAGTGAAGGTACGTATGGTGAATTTGAGTATGAAAGTGAGGAAGTGGAAGAAGAAGAAGGCTACTATACCAGGGAGCGGTCAGGAGAAGGGACCACCGATCAGGAGAGTGTGGCAGAAGAAACCACTGGTCGGGAAGAAGCACCCCCATCAGAGATGGAAACCGAAAAAATGGAGATCCCTAGTCCTGCTATATACTTAACCATCCTGGAGAAAGTATCGATGCCGGAAGAAGAGGAGTTTGTCATTGGAGAACCAAAAACGGACATGGACAACCTAACAGAGGAAGAACGAGGAGAAGTAGTGAAACTCTTCAAGACAAAGAAAGAACTATTCGCAGGAAGTTTGGAGGAGCTTACCCAGACCGACGTGATCCAGCACGAAATCGATACCGGTGACGCGAAACCTATAAAGCAAGCCTCCTACAGAATGGCATCCGACAAACATGACTACATAAGGGACGAACTTACGAAGATAAAGAAGCAGGGACTTGTCGTGGAATCTAGGAGCCTGTGGACTTCCCCAATCGTGATAATACCGAAGAAGAATGGTAAGCGACGTTTATGTGTAAATTACAGAAAATTAAACGCAGTGACGAAAAAGGACGCTTATCCCCTACCGAGGATCGACGACTTGATCAAAGCTCTTGGAAGAGCAACGTGGTTCTCGAACCTCGATCTAGCCAGTGGATACTATCAAGTCCAAGTTCATGAAAGGGATCGTGAAAAGACAGTCTTCGTAACTAAATTTGGAACATATGAGTTCCAGATGATGCCATTTGGGCTATGCAATGCCCCGGCTACGTTCCAAAGGCTGATGAACCGAGTGCTATACGACTACATCAGAAAATTTGTAGCCGTTTATTTGGACGACATTATTGTGTATTCGCTGACGTTCCCGGAACATATCAGTCATTTGACCTGTATTTTCAGAGAGTTGAGACAGGCTTCGCTGAAGCTGAATGCGAAAAAATGCAAGTTCTTCTTATCAGAGGTGGAATTTTTGGAGCACGTAGTAGGAAGGGATGGCATCCAGCCAGACGAAAATAAAATCATAAAAGTAAGAAACTTTCTAGCCCCGGGAAATGTGAAACAGCTGCGAAGCTTTATTGGTCTCGCCTTGTACTACAGGAAGTTTATTCGTGGGTTCACTACAATCGCCAAGCCTCTATACCAACTGTTGGAAAAGAATGCAATATATAAGTGGGGAGACAAACAACAGATGGCACTTGAGTTATTAAAAACATACCTGACAACAGCCCCGATTCTGCAGTACCTGGATTTCAAGAGGACATTTTATTTACATACCGATACATCCGGGACAGGACTGGGAGCAGTGTTGATGCAGATCGATAAGGCAAAAAGGGAATATGTAATTGCATACGCCAGCAGGAGTTTGTCGAAAGCTGAGCGAAATTACGCAGCAACGGAGCAGGAATGCTTAGCGGTAATATGGGGAGTTGAGTACTTCCACCATTATCTGGGTATGAAGCCGTTCATAGTAGTCACCAACCACGCCGCATTAAGATGGCTGGAGAATTCAAAACTGAAAGGTAGGAGGGTGCGATGGATCCTCCGCCTCCAACCATATAACTATACAATACTACACCGTGCTGGGAGAAAACATTCAAATGCCGATGCCCTATCACGTTTACCTAAGAGGAAAGGGGGAAGTAGTGCTAGCAATGGAAAACCTGACCACACCGAACGAACGAAAGATCCACTCTATCAATATGACAACTCAGATAACAATTCCTATCTACTAACTCGTAACATCTGATGCGAAGCAATAGCAAAATGATAACCATACGACAGTAATGATGCAATATAAATAGCAACCACTAAAACAGTAATAGAGAAAAAAATACTAACCTTAAAAATCTGCGGAACAGAATCCAGCCCAGGTTCCGGTGTCCTGGCAAAAAAGAATAGACTAACTAGTAAATAAACACTAAAGAGAAAATAGACACCTAAGGTTCATACGAATAATGGAAGAGGAATGATATAGACAGTTGAAGAACTATCTGCAAGAACGGCAGTTACCCAA